TATTGTCCTGCAGCATATGTTTCTCCTGAAAACTCTTCTGAATATGTAAATAAAATATTATAAACAGTCCAGGGTTGTGGCTTTGACTGACTTCTATTACTGCCATTTGAGGGAAGCTGTAATTTCTATAAAATTTCTAAACTCTGTGTTATTCCTGGTGTACACAAATACAGAGCAAAGTTTTGTCCAGAGCAAAGCCAATATCTTATGATTTGATTTTTTAAAAGAGCATTTGCATCAGTGTTTTTACATTAGTGCAATTCAAGGATAAAACTAACGGAGTTCCTACAACCCATGTAAGCAGAAAAAGAACCAATGTCTGAGTCCATGGCAGGGAGTGTTCCTGGCCACATGAACAACACCTCCAGAGAATCAATTCTCAAACCATTGGCCATGAACATGGATTGTATATGCACTAAAAAGATCCACTCCTGTAGGTTAATATATTTGACGTCACCATTCTATCATGTAATCTTCACTGTTAACCATTAAAAGCAACAATTTTAGTGTCAAGGGTTCTGTATTTCCACATCATAGATAATTCAGTGGTAGGAAGTACGTTGAAAATAGTGTTTTGTTACTCACTTATGACCATGTTTTTTTGGTATTTTTGGATTATTCTCTGTAAGTCTTACATATCTTTCCTTTAGCATAAATTCTAAAAGAGGGAATAATAAAATTCATTTTATCAGCTCTCAGATGTTTCTTACAGTTTAGTTTTAAAAAGGATGACAATTGATTAGTCTAATTCATCATTACTTAATGAGGTCAGAGTCTACCCAAAGGAACTACATCAAAGTACCTGAGCTAAAAAGTAGGAGAACAAAAAACATTTTTTTTTTAAGTTTCTCTGAAATACTATGATCCATTATGCAGGATGAAATTATAGCTAACTTTTAAAATTGAATGTTAACCAAGATTTTAAAAGAAGCTATGAAATTTAGACACACACAGTTTTTAACAGTATCTATGAAAATAATTTCTGATCATCTTTTTCTTTCTTGTTAAATATTTCTTCTCTTCATGAAAAAACAGATAGTTTGAATATATACCCACTCAACTAAACTTTAAATAGCTAAGGAACAATTACTCATTATTGCTCAAATAGATAAAAACAGTTAGTACATGGAACTGCTCTTCAAACTGTTTATGGACATTATAGTGCAGATCTAATATCCCTAGAATCAGTTGTTTCTGCTTTCTTTGATACATACAGCATATATGAATAAAACATTAGCATAGTCTATAAAGCAAAATTTAACTCTTTTACACAGAAAGACAAAACATTTGAGGCTGGAAAGCACCTCTGCAGATCACTTGGTTCAAGCTCCCTTATCAAAGCAGAGTCAGTGAGAGCAGAGTGCCCAGGGCTGTGTTTTATTGGGCAAACACACTGTGAACACCTCCAAGGACCAAGACTCCACAGCCTCTCTGGTCAATCTGCAATTTTGCAATACTTTCAACATAGGGAAACATTTGAGATGAAGAACTGACTTATTTCGTACAGGCAGTTGAACATTAGTAGTGAGTTGCCTATTGCACTTCCTGGCTGAGCAGCTATAACACAAGACTGAACAGGGAGCAATACCAACATAGCCCTTGCTATTATGTAAGCATTTTTTTCCTAACAGCTGATCCACATATGATATTTATAAATCTAAACAGTCAGCAATAATAAAGCTTAGCTGTTTAGCATGAGCAATAAAACTTAGCAGCAGAAGATTAACAGTTCAAACCATGTGGTCAGTCCAAGCAAGTTTCAGTAGACCAGCTCCTCATGTTTGGACGGAGGTTTACTCAGGCTCCTGAAAAATTGTATATGGTGTTTTAAGCTCATTTGTATATGCTGTTGTAAGCTAGGTTTGGATCCACATTCATCACTTTTCCACGTCATTGAAACTTTCTACCCCAAAATTCTCTTCCTCAAAATTTCACAGATCTTCCAGGATCAATGAAGCATGATAAATGCTTCTTTTTAATGTCTCCACTGTTAAAAGTAGATTTCAAGTTTCACCAGTACTTAGCTTCTATTTCACAAGCTGTTAAGTGACTAGACAAAAAGGAAATCAGTTATGCAGTGTTTTCAGATTTTATTGTTATCAGTTAAAGAGATAATTAGCCTACTCATGTCTAAACAAAAATAATAAATGTTATCACTTTACTAGTTGCTAAACAGAGTGTGGCAGTCTTGAACTGCATGTGTTTAATATGGCAATATAAGGCAATGCAACAAAATTCCACCCTCTTCTTCCCGCAAGGGTTTTGGTGAAACGTGGGACCTTCCTCACTTCTGCTGCATTAACACTGACCCTCCCTTCAGGAGCAAGCTCTTGGTTTAATCACTGAAAGCAGCAACTACAGCAAATACAGGAGAATTTGAGATATTTATTTGGTAGTCATGAAGAAGAACACAATGACTACCCTGTGTCAGAGGAAAGGTACGCTTAGATTTTGATAACATCTCTTGCCTGTGGCCAGTAACAGATGCATATGGAAGAATATATGAACGAAATATGATCATTTCAATACAATAGGACTGTAGCAATTTTTTTTAAGGGAAAAAATCGGGTTTATGTAGCTAAATGTGAATATCTCCATAGCAGTTACAAATCATAGAAGAGCTTGAGTTGGAAAGGACCTTAAAGATCATCTAGTTCCAACCCTCCTGCTATGGGAAGGGACACCTCCCACTAGACCAGGTTGCTCCAAGCCTCATCCAGCCTGACCTTGGACACTTCCAGTGTATGAGGTTCCCTCTCTGGAATAATCATTTTGTAATCAGTGGGAAATTACAAAATTCTTCTATTCAGGTTCTAAATGTCAGCATAAAGTAGATACCAAAAAGACTGAGCAAATCATGTGTGTCAGCACACTAAGTGGAGCAAGGAGAAGGTCTTGATGTATAAAGCTGATCTGCTGACTATGGGAGTTGATATTGCTAAAAATAAGTCATAGCTTGCCATCAATGCAGGATGTAGATGTTCCAATAAAATTTAAAAAAAAAAAGCTAGAAGAAATTATGGATTCGATTATCAGGGCAATTACCGTTTCTTCCTCAGTCAGCAGAGTTGTCATGGAGCAGTGTAAGCTTTCTCATCTTCCTGTTTGGTCTTTTTTTGTCTACTGAACTGATGATTTGAGTATGCAAAGTTTTAAAAATGTGAATAATGTCCTGACTTCCAAAGACCAGTTACAGAATGTTATTAGATTTATGGAAAAAAAAATTGTTATTACCTGTCTGCTGTGACTTCCTGGTACTTTCTTTTCCTCTTTTTGTTGATTAAACTCACATTCCTCCTAAAGGTTTTCTTTGTAGCATTATTATTTTTTTCCAGCAAAAAAATACTTAGCAGTTACTCCTTAAGAAAAGAGAAATCAACTCCTTACCTAAAAGCTTTTTCCGTAGACCCCAGGACTATCAGTCAGATCAATTAAGTCATGTTTAGATTGCTTTGATTTTAAACATTCATGAATACACAAGGCAGCCAATAAAAAGAAAATACCCCTGCACTGACAGCTTAAATGGATCTCTGCATGAGCCAAGGCTGCTGAGATTCAATTTCCTTTCGCTTTACTCACATGGACTTGGCCTTACAGACCAAGTGAGTGACTGCGGTGCCATTGCACTCCGTAGTGAAGCTCTCACCAGTGGAAATTGGACTTGACTTCCAAATCCCAGCGCTGCAGTGGTACTCAGCTGGGCTCTTCCTGCTAATCTTTTAAATTAAAGCAAGTTGTTGATGTTGGCCTTACTGTTCCCCTGGCAAATTTTCTTCTGAAGCTCTGCAAGCAGGATGTGATAAACCTAGGACAGTAGCTGGATGCATTTTGTCAACAAAACACTTTTTTTTTTTTTCACAGAAGGATGTTAACTACTTTTTTAAATATTTAGAATTTTCCAGTTTTGTTCATCGTCAGTAAACAGAAATGGTGACTTGACTTGTCTTCAGAGGCTCATACTGTCATAACATTCTATGTCGTGATAGTATTATGAAGTCACACATTAGTAGGAAAACAAAAATAACTTCAGTTCCATCCTTTTTAGAAGCCCTCTAAAGACAGAATGCATGCTGTTGCGTTTCTATGGTAGAAAATCGGGGGGTACTGCATTTATTCATAGTTGTTGCTGCTTTATTCAAGAGGAGCTGAACTTAAAACCAGATCTGCTCTAACAAGCAAAAGCAAGATCATAGTTCTGAATGATGTCTGATAAATGAAGGTGGCTAAATTTTAGGAAGAGACAAATCTATTTTGGCAGTAAGCAGCTGGCTTTACTGCCTTCTGAGCATCACTTTTCAGACATTCTGCACAATCTGTGTCTCTGTAAAGTGCTGCACACAGGATGATAAAATCTTACTAAGAAAAGTTATGAGCAAATCTGGTATTTCAAGTCTAATTCATGAATCCTATGAAAAATTTTGTAGTATAAAGTTATAGTCTTACATTCCTTCATTGTTAAATAACTACATTTGCTTTATTCCATGAGCAATTCTCATTGTACTTGATTTAGTAGCTTGTTTTCTTATGTTTATCTCCACATTTCACTTCATTATTTTTCCCATTTGTTATATGCAACAGCACAGGATTTTGAAATAAAAATATGACCCAGGTGAAGACTTGATTTTTTCTGTGTAAGTGGTAGCAAGCTACGTGTTTGTGGTTTTCCTTGCTGTGTGGATGATGTGGTTTTCAGATGCTTTGTAACACATTGCTTTTAGTGGACTATTAAGAATTCAGTATCTTGTCCCATTAAGTAATTTTTTTCCTGAGGCTTATATTTTGACATTTCTACATTAGTGACAATTGGGGAAGTTACCTCTTTGGAGTTATCCTGGTGACAAACTACTTAAAAATATGAATGCAGCTCTCAGAACCTGAGGTGTAACTCCCAGATATGAATCTACAGTTTGCCATTTGTAATCGTTTTACTGTAACCAAAAGATTTCTGTTCTTATCAGAATACACTTCATGTGATTTATAGAGGGTTTGACTCCGCAAATATGAGCATAAAACTTCCTTATACTGATACCTTGCTGTATACGGAGTCTCTTGGCTCAGTCCTGGGATACTTCAAAGACACAACAGATGAGATCAGCATACAGTATTCTTCAGCCTGTTTGTCACAGCTCTCCTCCTGTCTTCCACAATGAATTACACTCAGCTGTTTTATCTCCTTTTTGTAAAAAAATATATGGAAGAAAAATTTAAACCTCAATATTTCTAGCCTGACATTTGAAATATGGAGGTACGTTTTTCATTTTAAATCAGTTTGCCCAACTGCCTTCATCTTCCTGTGTTTTCTTAAGTGACAGAGTAGAGAAAATGTATTGGAATTACCAAATCACATTCACAAATTAGTCCCATTTTGAGACTCAGCTTCTTAACAGCAATGTGCCTCTGTAGGGTACACTTATCTTCCGAGACCATGGCTGGCCAGGAAATGTCTGATTTATAAAATGTTTTGGTTTCTTGCCATGTTGATAGGTGTGCATGGTTTTGATATTGAAAAAGTTTTTCGATATCAGGCAACCCAGACTGTGGAGAGTGCATGTATAGTTTGAATCAGAAGGGAATTCTGATGTGGTTCAACAGGTAAATTATAGCTGATGGGACAATAACATTCGACAATCTAATCTGTGTGAAGTGAAAGAACTTTGCTAATGTGTTGTGCCATTTAAATAACATTAACTGAATATCACATCAAATCTTCTTTTCAAAGCAGTTTCAAATTTGAGCACTTGACCTCATACTGTTTTCCTTCATAGGGATGCAGGTGCTGGAGTGGAATGGCATCCCCTTGACTGGGAAAACTTATGAAGAAGTCCAGAACATTATCATTCAACAGAGTGGGGAAGCAGAAATATGTGTAAGACTGTGAGTTTTTCCCCATCTTTCTGTTTCCATTTTTTTGGCTTTTCATGGCTTTTGTTTTGTTTTGTTTTGTTTTTGTAAATTTACAGTTGTTAAGGTGGAACCTTTGTTACCGTTAAACATCGATGTAGCAATTAGCAAGAGTTCACTGTGAACGTTGGAGGTCTGTTCGTTCTTTTTTTCTTTCTAAAGTCCTAGGGAAAAATAAGCGGAGGCAGATGTTAGTAATTATGCTAATGATATCTCCATTGTCAGGCCACGACCGTCTCTCATTGGTACACTTAAAAATCACCGAATTTACTGGGGTTAGGAAAAGACCTTAATTTAGCCCTTACTTGACTTTTACTGAAATCTGTATCCTGTAGATGGAAGTCATTAGAGCATCATGAGTAATGTATAAACTTGCATTCAACCCATTAAAGATTTCACCTTAAAAGAACCATTTCTTCTCAGCTCTTTAACAGCATTGCAAATATGTATCAGCTAAGAAGGGGCCATGCTTGGGAGCTGTTTTCTGTCATGAACCACTATTCATTTATCTACTTAATACAATAATGAGGGTATGAGGAAAGAGTTTCTTTTGTCTCAGGCTTCTCATCGCATTCTTTAGGGACCTGAACATGCTCTCGGACTCTGAGAACCCCCAGCACCTGGAGCTGCATGAGCCAGTAAAGGCAGGTGAGCGACAACCTGTTTCTTTGATATTGTAGGACCAGATAGCAGCTGAAAATTGGATGTGGTGTAAGCTAGGATATTAGCATTGTAAGCTCAGGTGTTATATCCCAAATCTCACCATAGGCAGAAAGAGGACCACACTTTATCTAAAAAGCCAAGCATTTATTGATGTTTGTTATTATTAGCTCAGTTCAATCCATACCGACATGGCTGACACTATCTAATTAATCCAGAGGAAATTTCAGTAACAATACGCAGCTAACACTTGCTATCCAGGAAAAAACCCCCACTAGCTACCCCTTCATCTCTGCATGCCACAGAAAACTGTGGCCTAATGGCTCCACCTTAGCAACTACGCCAGGACCTGTGGGCAGAGCTTTCACTCGGGGCATTGCCGCGAGGTGACAGCGTCCTGAGGAATTTGCTGGAAGAGGATGATGTTGGTGGGGACAGTTTTTGATTCCGCCTTGCTAGGAGGGGGGTGGTGTTGATAATTCTTTCCTCTTCACTTCGGGACCTGCCTGGGGCCTTTCTTATGTTTTCTAGCATGCCTTGCTCTTTCCTCACCAGTCAGCAGCTCTGCACTGCATATTACTTGGCTGGGTATCATACACATTACATGTGATATATTCTTGTTCTTTGTTCCTTCTGTTGTGCCTAAAATTTATTTTGGCCGACATCAGTGTCAGTAACTGACCAGCAAGTTACTGATATCCCTTGGGCCTCGGCTATCATCGTGTGCCCAAACCTTGCAGCACTCTGCTCTTACCACAGCTTGGCAAACCTATAAACTGCATTATTAATCCAGAGTCAGAAGTACTTCAATCTACAAGGTGCAATTACTGTTGTGCCTATATATATCAAAATTTTTAAGAAAATGCATTTTACCATACAATTTTACAAGATGAAATGTAACTTAGACAAATAAAGGTCATAGCCATCTGCTCTTTAGAAAATTACTATTGCAGCCGACAAACTAAAGCAGAGCTCCTAGAAATCTGGAGCAGGTCTAAATAACACACAAGTCCTAAAGCCTATGTTAGTTTAATACAAAGCTTTGTGTTAGTAACAATAACACAGTATTCATTAGGATACAGGGATGCAATAAGAAGTACTTTGTGTGAAGTTTTATTACATGACTTCTAAGATGGCAGTGCTTTTGGGGAGAATTCCCTTCTGTCCAATCAGTACCATGACTGCAGCTTCCAGTCATGGTATTAATCATGTAACTTTGAACCAATGTCCACAATCTTACTAGTAAAGAAGCCCTTCAGCAAGCTCAGTGCAGATTAAAAGTGTTTCACTGAGCGTTTCCTGAGTCTGTTCTGAGTTCTGTGGTTTTGTGGCTGCTCATTTATCAATCAATACACAAGTTACCTGGATTAAATCCTCCATTTTCTGACATGTAACTCTTCCCATCTGTTAATATCCTTACCACCAAGCTATCTTTTGTTGAAAGCAGATGTTATTGATACTAATTAAAAGCGAACACCGAATCTGACAGTTTAGGCAGGGCTATCTACTTTTTCTTACTGAGCAGATTATAAACATCAAAAGCATTCATAGACACTGAAATTGGGTTTTGAAATAAGATAAACAACATTTTTATTAAAAGGGAAAATTGAAAATGAAAAAGAAGTAAAACTAAATTCCCCCATTCTTGCAGTCATGTTTCCTTCTAGTCCAGCAATCTTCTGGTGGTTTCTGAATTGGAACAACTCTGTAGAGTCCCTTCTGGGTGCCAAGCCATATCTTTCTTGCCATCACCTTTGAGGTCTTGCAGACTGTTTGTGCTTTGGAAAGGAATAATCTCCATTTCCTCTAGAAATGTATTTCTAGAAGAAATACCTAGCAGGAAGGATAAGGCTAATATATTGCCTTAAACTTCTCATAATTCTGAGAAACTGGGAAGCAAGATGAGCCTAGTATCCTTTTAATTCTATACACTTTAAGGCACATATAAAACTCACTTGACCTCATTTTTCTATTCAATGGAGATTGCCATCAGCAAAGACTAAATTCTCCCTACTGATTCCCAGGCAGCAGGGAGGGCCGTCAGACACCTACCGCAGATGCCTCGCACAGATGTGTGCAATAAGGGAAGATGAATCAGGATTGTTACTCTTCATTTGTTTTCGTTTTATTTTGCTTTGATTTATTTGTGGTGCTAAAATTTTGAGCTCCTCTTCTCTTTACTTTTGTGTAAATTACCTAAGGAGAATTCAGTTTTGATGAATGTCTAGTTCATTTTTTTTTTACAAAAAGTTTTGATGAAAACTTCTTACAACAAAGTCCAGATACTTGGTGAAACTGGACCAGTTCCAAACAGGACCAGTTAGCACTGGTCTAAAAAAACTGTAATGTGCTCCAGTATGATACAGTGTGATCAGCAAGACCTATTTTTCTTCAGCGAGAGAATAGCCTTCTCAGAAAGCTTGTGAGGTGCATAACACTAATTGACAGAGTGTTGGGCATAAAAACTGGAACTGGAATATTGATGTGGTGGGGGAGATGTCTATTTTTTGTAGGTTGCTTTCTGCATCTTAAAAGTATACAAGCAGATGATGTGAAAACCTGTAAAGATCATTATCCTGTCCCTGTACCGATCCTTATCCTGTCCCTGTACCATGGCAGGATGGATTTGACTGTGTTAGCAATTATCAATACAGACCTCTCTTACTTTAATCCAGTAGATAAAGCAAAGTCCCCGGGAGTTGATCCCAAGCAGCTGGCTGCAGAGCTCCAGAAGGTTTCTCTGCAGCAGTCGCCTCTGGTTGCTTCCTCGGGCGTGGAAAAAGGATCTCATGGTCACTCTGGAACCGCTTCTGCCACCTCCAGCGCCGTTCCCAGCCCTGGTCAGCCTGGCTCACCCTCAGTGAGCAAAAAGCGGCACAGCAGCAAGGCAAGAAACTTCTGTTATGTGGCAATAACATTTTGATGACTAGAAGGAATCACCTATTTGTCTTCTTTAGTGTAGAAAGAAATCACAGCACATATTGATGAATTCCATGACAGTGATGAGTATTACTGTTAAGAGACAGAATTTGGACACAAGGAAAGGAGATTATGTGATTTATCCATGGTCATAAAAGATTGGGCCCTCTGAAAATAGAGTCAAACTTAAAATTACTGATTTAAAAAAAAATCATTGCCTTTTTCATTCTTTGTTGCTGTTCCTTTTTAAGTGCATCCTACATGATGGCAAGGTACTAGTTCTGGAGAAGCTGTTGTTACTACCAAGACCATGATTTCACTCTTTGTACTAAGCTACTGTTTGTATTAATGATTATAGCAATATTAAGCATTTCTCTGAAATTTACCATTGAAATGTGTTTTGGCACTAACTCCTGTGAACTTGTTAAATGTAACTTCTCATTTTTTTGCCACATTCTGTCCATGTCTCAGCAGAACGTCTTTCTCTTTGTGCATCGACCTGCACACCTGGAAAGGGTAGAGTGTGAATTTAGTAGCATTTTTTCACAGTTGAAACTGAAAACTAGATCATAAAGTCATCTGTAACATTTTTGCGTTTTGTGTCACAAAAGTTAACACCTGAGGTGAAAATCAGTCCTGCGAAGATTGCTTTTGCTTAAGCAATTTGCAAGATATCTAGAGCTGACTGCTATCTGAGTACCCAGCTTCTCGCTGTCTTACTGTTGGAAGCAAAGCTTCACATTGCAAAAAAAAGAAAGGTGCTTTATAGATAGATATTTCTCTGTATCTTTATTCCTTCTTGGGACTGTCAGGTTGTTGTCATCTTTGTACTTTTGTGCTGTTGAAGCTGTGACTGTGATATGAACTCCAAACGCATTAGGTACTGTGCAAACCAAAACCAGCAAATGGTGCCTGCTCGTTTTAGACAGATCTTCCGTGTGATTACATAACCTTTATGTGAGAGGAAACACAAAAATCTCTTTCATCCAGCATTTTAGAAAAACTGGAAATATATTTACTGATAAGTTTAGCTTAGATATTAATTCTGCATCGCCACAATTCACACAGACATTTTATGAACTAAGTCAGGTCTATGATGTACAAGTTAAAAAAAAAAATGTGTCAAGATTTACTGCACCTAGCTTCAGGGATCTGGCACAATTGCCTAATCACCAGGTAAATGATTGATTTCATTACAGCTTACTCTGAATATCGCATGCATCTACATATGTGCTAGTTTGGTATGTACTTTATGTTTACCACTGAGAAAAATGCACTTCTGAAATATAATTCCTGAGCTTGCCTGAAACCTAGCACAGCACTACACGGCAAGGAGAGGGCAGGGCTCTTTGTGCAGTTGTCACTATCTGCAGTGGAACCCCTGTCATTTGGTTAAGTGAATCACACAAATAGAATATGGAGATTCAGAAATCCTTGACATGCAGTGTGTCCTGGAGAGGTGCCTCTCTCTGCCCACATGAGAGGACTGGGTTCCCAGCTTTGGCGCTCTAGCAGGTCACCTAAAGTTAGATACATAAATTTCATTTCCTGCTTCACAGAGGATTTAGTAATCTTTTACAAAAGTTCAGCTGGAGGCTTATAAAGATGAAACAAATAATTATTAAAACTAATGCCTTTATGTAGGGGATGCAAAAGTCAAAACTAATCAGGTAAATTCTTTAAAAATTCTTTGCTTATTTCTGAAAATCACATTGCGAGGAATTTCTTTCATAACAACCATAGCTCTTGTTGACTTGTACAGTTTCTGTTCACTGACTGCAGGCCAAGTTTATAAGGGTGTTGAGCTCTGTTAGAAGTGAAAGCTACAGCTCCTCCCTTCTGGAACTGCTCTTTGCCTTGGGCTGACAGCATTTCTAGGCAGGCTGCAGCCTTGCCAAAGTATCATGACAGACTAAATATCCAGACTACATAGGTCTTCTTTCTGTGACTGTTCTTATTTTTAGCAAGTAATTTTTTCTTTTTCCCCTAAGCTTTTTTATAGAATATATGCTCCAGAAATGTTGTAGGGGCCTCTTTGATATTCTGCAGTATCGAGTCTCTTGTATTTAGTGCATTGTCCCATTCCTACAGAGAGTGATAGTGCATAGCATCCCAGCCTGGCTTTAATGAGTTTCACATCACGGTAGTGACAACCTTCCCCAGCACGTACCATGGCATTACAGAACACCAGCTCTTACACAGGGCGTTTGAGTGCCTGCAGGGAGTATCAAAAGAAATTAGAATGAAATTAGTTCAGCCGTCACAGGAGGGATTTAACCTGTGGGAGCCTCGAACTGGCTATGTCCTGTGCAGACCTGTTTCTTTTGTAATGTAAATACATGATCATTCTATGGTGCAGTTTATATCCAGGGTATAAATGCCGTATAAAAACATTTAATTGTCTTTGTATCTTGAAGAATGGGTTTTTCTTCTAAATCCTCAGCTCCTTTAGCTCCTAGAGAAGTCAGCAGTGAAATACTTTTCCTTGCTTTCTAATTAAACCTCACTGAGGCCCTGATAAAGAAAGATAATTAGTTGCATCTCTGCTTTTCAGTCCAGGTTTGACTTCATAGTTGGCCCAGCTCTGAGCTGGAGTTTGGACCAGATGACCTTGAGAGGTCTCTTTCAGCCTAAATTACTCATGTTTCTTTGAAATATTTGGGTAGTTCTTCATAATCAGTTTTAAATCAGCTGACATCAGAGAAAAAACAAAATATTTAGTATGTTGAATCATAGCCATGTAAATGAATACAGAGATTTAACAATGATATGGAAACGTAAAAATACACATATATTTTTTACAGACAAGCAGGCAAAAGCAAAGTAACTGCACAGCTCAAAGGAACCCCACTTTAACCACCCTTGGAAGTCCCCACGCGCATTTGACCTGTCCATTCCATTTTCTCTGATCTACTTTTACAGTACCTGTACTAATACTTGCTGTGTTACATAATATTTGGAGTGAACAAGCTCATTATTTCTGGTATTCAAACTCTTGAATAATGCCCAGGTAGGTCTTTGGTTTTGACAATAGGAGTGAAATTCTCTCTTTGAGTATTCTTGCAAGGACCAAGTAAGTTTTAGGACTAGTTTGCTATCAATCTAAAATATAATTTAAGATTCAGAACATTTTGTAATCGATGACCTATTTTAGCTGCTAGAGGGATTATACTTCTTTAAAAGCTTTTTAAGGTACCAAGAAAAGCTGATTTAAAAATTTTCCATGAGGAATTAGTTCTGAGAGGTGCATTAATTTCAAAAAATTATTTTTTGATAAAGCTTGTGTTCATAAATAAGGTGAAGCTGTTAACCAAAAAAAAAAATAAGGGAACAAAAGACAGTGTATACAAATATATATTACAGGCATGTTTGGGCTGTTTTTCTCCCACATTTTCATTGCCTTGGTGTTTGGCTGGGATTTTTACTGGTTAATTCTGGTCTACAGATCTAGGTGTTCCTTCAGCACCAGTCTGAAAAGGCTTTATTTGAAGGCAAGAGTAGTTTGAAAGGGGTAGTGCCTCACCTTAACTTCATGCTCTTGTCCTGGAGATGGGGATTCTGCATTGACCTGATTAAAAACAATTCATATTCAACATCCTGACAATATCTCTTATGGAGGTTTTTTTTGTAGGGTACGGCAACACAAATGAGACAGATGTGTTTTCCTTTTAGTAAAAGAAATCTTAGCTACTCAGAATAATATGTCAGGCTGCTCATCACATCTGGAAAAAAAGGAAAAGATGACGTCCAGATCAGTATTCCTTGCTTGAATGATGCCTTCCAGATTAGAGGTAGGTCCAGGTAGGCTCAAGGACACCTCCGTTTAACAGAACAACATATTTCTGAGAGTCCAGGATTTGAAGCAAATGGTATTATTATTTTCCAGCTACTAACAAATAGTAGGGAAGAAAAGAGAAGGATAAAAAAGACACAGAGTATTTCATTACTTTTGTCAGCAACCTAGGGAACCTCAGCAATAGAGAACAGAAGGAAACAGGAATGATTATACGGCATTGTACAGAGGAAGATAGAAAATTTAAATTTCATGTCATGGAAAGTGTGTGGAGGAATTTGAAGATGAAGTGGTATAACTGAATTGACCAGAAAACACAGAATAAAAAATAATAAAAAAGTAATATATGAGATGCCTTGCAATTGTGAAATCCACTTACACACATCGCTCAGATTCAGTCCCATTCTTTCTACTCCTTCTACCCACTTTCATCTAAACTCAATTTGAACTAGTGTAACCTTTGCCTTTCAATAGAAATACGGCTGTGTTGCACCTGACATTCCATTTGGTTTTGCTTTGCAACATCCACTTTTGTTAGGCAGGGTTAATGCTATATGTCTTTTTTCCCCATGCCTCTCTGTGTGACCAGACTGCTCAGACTGTACAGGCTTTGGTGTCAAGTTGTCTGATTCTGTACTTGCACGAATGCTGATCAAAATGACTGGGCTGGACTTTCGGTGCTCTTACAATAGCATAGCTATTTGTTTTGAGCACACAAAACATTTTTTAAAAAATATGTGACAATGCAGCAGTATAAACAACACCTGCTAAGAAAAGTTGACTTTGAAAATCTATTATTTCATATATACGTATGTGTATATTTATGAGTGTGTGACTATGTATTTATTTATGTATTTTAATCTGGCAGCCCACGGAAACTACAAAGTCTGCTTCCCATCCAATCATGGGAGAAATTCAGGTAAATATGTAGTTTTTGAAGTATAACTTTTTGTTACCACTGGCAACATTTTTCTAATGAACAAATTTGCAGAAAACAATTTCCATTAAGGGATTCTTTATTCAACTCCAGCCTCCTGAAATGTCACAAATGTCAGTGCTTCATTTTTTTCCTCTGTCTTTAATGTTGGCTTGTAAAATAAGAAGGGAAGAATGGAAATTGCTGCTGTTCCCTGGGGAAAATGTAGTGAAATTCATTCTCGTCTTTAATATTTGGGCAGTTATTGCACTTTACTTCAGAAATTCCCAAACTCTCCACAGTTAAGCAAGGACTGCTGTGGAATGTGCAGTGTATTTATTTCCATACAATGCCAAGTTTGTGGTTATCTCTTATGTAAACTGGCTTTACTGTATCTTTGTTAGTATAGTGGAACATGGAGTGGCAGAATAAATGAAGCCTAACTTCCTTTAGATTTCTTTCTTCTTTTCCTTAATTAATCCCTCTCTTCTATACTTGTCCTAAGGGTCTTTCCATAGTAGTACAACATCCTTCCTGGGCTTGGGGTCCAGTTAGTCAGAATTTGTGAAATTCCTGCTCAAGAAGCTGGCTATTGCTCAGAATAATATCAAGGGTTCAACTTTCATCTGCTTTGAACAATATAGGCAGACTTTGAAAGCAAAATTCGTTTCAAGATCCAACATAATTAGCATCTCATTCTAGTCAGGAAAGACAGAGACAGAAACTTCTGAAATTTCCAGCCAAAGCAAATGTTTAAGACTCATTTTACTCAATGGATTTAGGAGAGGTATTGAAACATTTAGGAAATGAAAATAATAAATAATCTCGATATGTTTTAATGAATTCTCTAGCTTCAAATCAACTATGACAAACACCTTGGCAACCTTATCATCCACATTCTTCAGGCAAGAAACCTTGCTCCCAGAGACAACAATGGCTATTCAGACCCCTTTGTTAAAGTTTATCTTCTTCCAGGGAGAGGGTAAGTGTAAGAAAAATTTTAACCTGAACTTTCTTTTAATTTGGGTTTGTTACAGAACTGAGAGTTATTGTTATAGAAGATCCAGGCGCAATACCTGATCCTTTTGCTAGGAGAACATGCGTATTTTTCTAATGATCTCAGGGGCTTCATGGTCATTCCTGTAGATGTAATATGTCTTTTCATGTTTCCATTTAAAAATTCTAATATATGCAAAAATATGTATCAAAAAGACAACAGACTTTACTGAAATGTACTAAATGTATGTAGTACCTTCTGTAATATAGAAACCTACATGTTAAGATTAACATGGAATGGTTGCTTCAGCTCAAGACATTCTGAATTTGGGACAGATTAGCAACATGTAGAATTACAGTATCTGAAGTAAATTTATGGTTGCAGTATAATATCAAAGGTGAGAAATACTAGATAGAAAATGTTCATTCCATGTGATTTATTTTTTTTTAACGATTTTTTTTTTTAAGAGCTAAGATGTAGCTTTAGAATTCTGGTAGTTTTATATCTAATGACCACACAAATCACTAATCATTTTTTCACAGACCATTTTTTTTTTAGACTGTAATTAGAAATAACTCATTAGTGTTTCCTTTAAAAGATATGTTTCTGCACTAGCAATATTATAACTCTTTTTGTGCCCTAGAGTTGCAGAATATCATATGTATGCATAAGTATACATGGTTATAACAATCCTGGTGGCTTCAGTGCCACAATAGAGGTATCTAAAATTGAGATGATGGATCAGACTTTAGATTGCAAAGTCAAATTCCTAAAAGACTCTTAAGCTAGGACTATGTAACTAAAAAATCTCTGTTTCTGTTCTATTCAAAGTAATAGGAAAGTGGGTGTTGAGGTCACAGCTGAGCATTGGGCATATGGGCAAGCACCGCAAAAAGCAGATAAATGGTGCAATTAAATAAAGGTGTGCATATCCTTTTGCAGCTTGCTCATTCCAGCCATACAACATTTAATATTGTTCAGTGTCACTGGGCCAAAAACTATTACTGAGTACAGTGTGAACAGGTCCTAAATCTTGAGCTTTCTTTAATGTACCTAAGAGTCTTGTAAAGTGCTTGTCGAATTGAACTTACTGGGAATTTTGCAGATACATTCACTGATGTAGAAATAAGACTTGAACTAGAGACACTTTTATCTTGCAGAGTTCTAAGCCATATTCCATTATAGATTTAAACTTGCTACCATGTTATGACGAATTTGAATTTTAGTTTTGTTTGATTTCACTATTTTTAAACATGGCAATGTTACAGTTCTGCACCTAACTTGGGGCTTTAGGGAACAGTGAAAATGAAGAACTACTCAAAAGTGCAAAACTTGTATCTGAAAGCAGAAACTTGAATTGCTACTGAATATCTTCCATCTGTAGTTCACTAGACTACTTATTCTTCTTAATGCCTGTATTTCCTTTGATTCTGATACTAGAAACTACCCATTATTCACATGTTTTCTTTCATCTCTGTTCTTATTTTCTGTTACACTGCTTCCGATGTGTTCCTAACTCTGTAAATGCTGGGTATGCAGACAAGTAATGGTCGTCCAAAATGCAAGGTAGAGTGTAATATCTTCCAATTTTATTTTTTTCACTTTTGTGTGCATGCATAATATTAGCCTGTGCATTGAAGTTCTCATGCAATAGAATTGCAACATGATTTTACTGTTCATTCTCTAATGAATCCCATTTCCAAGTCAGAAAAGATCTGGAAACTAGTAATTAATGCTTCTCAATGCAGTAATGTTCTAAAGCTAAATTTTGATGAGAAATAAAATTTCTTCTGAAGTCTGGAAGAATTTAGTTCAGTGATATCTAAAAATTCATTCTCACTCACTGAAAGCTGCAAAATAATTAACTGTGAACTTGTATCAAGATTTTGAATGGTGTTACTGCCAAGAGAAAGAGGCACTCTTTGGAAATGAAATGGGATGTTTTTCTCTATATACCTTGCACAGTGTATAAGCATTAAAGCAAGGTATAATTCTAGATAATTTTCCAGCTGGCTTTAAAACTGCTTAACAACATAAATGGATATTTATGGTAAACAAAGTTGTTTTTTTAGTTATTGAAATTACTAGTGCTTTGTAAGCCCTGGAGTTGGAAACGTAAGGCAAAACTCCATTCTCAAGATAGACTATCAGCCTAGGCTGAGTACATGAATAGTAATAGTAAATAATAGTAGTAATAGTAAATACAGAATAGTAATTTAGCCCAAATTCTAAATTTGTTTAAAAGTAGAAGCCTGACCAAACAAGTCAATAGATGAATTTCAATAAACAGATCTTCTCAATTATGTTTGTTTCTTCATTAATAAAATCATTTAAAGAATATATTTAGAGCAGCTGCATATAAAATATGGCATTTATTATACTTTTTTCTTTGTATTAAGGAAACATAGAGGAATGATAAAGAGTAATGCAGTTTGTATCTTTTCACACAGCATACTCTGTGAGTTTCAAGTGCAACATTTTATACTAGGTATAGACTGGTTTAATAAGTGTATTTTATTAAAGCACCTACATCTGTTAATCACAATTGTTGGGTGGAAGATGCATTAGTGGTGTGAACTTGATGTATTTGCCAGGTCATTCAAAGGTCAAGAACCCTTCAGCTGTGATCCAGCTTAGCCTGGGCCTGCACCTCCTTAAAAGTGGTCACGGTCTCCTCTTTCCCTCTGCAATAGATCCAATCCATAGGTTACATCAATGTAGGCTATCACCACCCTTACCAGTTTAGATCCAGATACTCCATGGACTTCACTGGAAATACTCCAGAGTTACCATGTTAACACGTTTACCTTCTGTCACTGCCAGCTCTGAAACTCAGCACTACATGAATCATCTTCTCACTTATTTCTGAAGAGAACCAGAAACTTTGAAAAGGTGATAAAATAAAATTGCTAAACGAAATCCATGGAAGGAAAGGGAATGTCTGGGTGTCATTTTCTTGACTGAGTGCACAAAGGGTCCTTTCCTACTTCAAAAAGACGAAAGTATATCAATTACGTAAACCAGTAGACCATATGACATTTAGACGAGCCTGAACTGTGTAATACTATCCTGGCTTGGTTGAGATAAGAAGTGAGTTACTCTGGATATAGGAGGAGTTTGGGTATGTTAATATTTCATTAATAGTTGATCAGAATAGACATTCATGTGAAGAGTACTGTGAACCCAGCCCAACTGTGACTTGCCTGTGTTCCATGACTACATATGTGTCAGTCAAATCTCATTAATACTTTGACTGATGGGGATGCTACTCTCAGATCAGAGAGTGGGGAAAAAATGCTGCTGAGGTGCTCAAAAAAAAATTAAGTGCATTACCAAATAGGATTTGCCATTAAAATCTAGTTTTCAGAAGGATTCAGGCTTTGTATTTCAGCTTTCCTTCCAAGATATACAAAGAAATAACTTTCTGTGAGTTTTTTTTCTCATAAGCTCTTGGTCCTCATAGATTTTAATTCATCTTTTTCTTAGTGACATGCAACAAAAAAAGAGCTCTCCTTTCCCCCTCTCCAAAAAAACCCCACAAAACCCATTGTATGCTGTGGCTGAAAGAACTGATTGAACTGTAGAGAGCTGCTGCTTTTTTCTCATAAGCAGAGGTGGACTGATGCTTTGTTTCACAGGTCCCAATGCCATTCACATTTTTCAGTGAACTGGAAGACAGTGTATAGCATGTTCTGGAATAAAATAAATAAAGCTTCATAGAATGACTAGAGCAAAAAGTAAGAACAACAATAACTGCAAGTTCCTTTCATTAAAGGATACTAGTCTAGTAGGCAGCTTGGATAGGGCCACCTCATTTGTGGAAATAAGGCCACTATTCCACTCTAGAATAATTAGAGGTGAGCATTGCACAGTAGAACTGAATTTGTAGAGTAAAACTGCTGGTGCTGAAGACCCAACATTGACATGTATGTGTTAGTAAAGCACATGTGTCTTTCACATAACCTTAACTCAGACCTGCTTCGATCTGGTGCTATGCATGTACACCATTAATGACTAGCTGATTAAATAAGTCCCTGGAGTGCATCTTCAGAGTTGATCTCATATGAAAGGAATCTAGTTCATTAATTCTGAGACCATACCACAGTGTGAACCAAAACACAGTTCAATCAAGACAGAAGTGAGAATCAGGAGAGCAGCACACTATCAAAAATTAATGTAGGGGAAACATAAAAGAGTTTAATAGGGCAGATACGGGTCATTCTGGGCCATTTGGCTTTCGTGCTGGTGAACAACCCCGGGCACATTTAATTTAGTGATAGATACAGCATGTGAGTCCTTTAATGTATAGCAGGTTTGAATAGAAGACAAAGGGCAGTTGACTTCCAGAGTGGCAAAATAAGATTCTTTACCTTATATGTTGTTGAGTTTTCAATGTATTAAAAGCTTCTCATGTTCTCCTACCCGGTTCTTTTGAGATATGCATTAAAATGTATATTAAATTAAAATTGGAAAGGAAGCAAATCTGACATCTAAGCTCACAGTGCTAGATGAAACCATATTCTGTTAAAGGTTAATGTATTGCTTTCTCCATGCTCAGGAAATAGAGTACAATAGAAAGCACTATCTATTACATAACAGATTATGCAGCCAAACTTTTTGTTCTTGGCTATTGATAAAAACAGTCATGGACTTGATGCATTTTTATGTTTGTTTCCAGTGTAGTTAGAGGTATAGGCGTAGAACAAGATCAATAAGAAGTTAGTGTTTCTATCATTAACAGGATATTAATAACCCCATGGCATTCATTAAATATTCTTGTGACATGGCAATCCTGTAATTAGAGACTGCAGCCCATAAATATAATGGATTCATGCTACTTTTAAATTGCTAATAGGAAGATGGTCTCGGAAAAGTAATCAATGCATTATCACTTCAACTTAAAATCAGAACCCAACACCTACAATGAGAGAACAAAGCATGTGTTTACCGATGCTTTGTGTCAAAACAGTTGAAGGCAGAATAGCCTGCTGAAGAGAGAAAAGAATATGTTTTAAAAGAGCATATCAGGAAAGTATACTAAAGAAAATATCCCGAAGGCTGTCATTGTCCTCTTGTAACCCTGAGTTGTTGCAGAAATGGGAGATGCAGTTCTTTTCTTCTTCTGGTTTTTGGTTTGTGGGTGTTTTTTTCGCATTAGAACTGAAAGAAACAAAAGATAGCTAATGTAATGTTTCCTTCCTTTGTTCAAATCCAGTGCTGAGTACAAGCGGAGAACTAAGTACATACAGAAAAGCTTGAATCCCGAGTGGAATCAAACGGTCATTTACAAAAATATCTCCATGGAGCAGGTGCGTGACTGGTAGTACTGTTCAGTGCAATTTGCTGCTTTGTTATGTGTATGGTCTGCAGTGCTACTGGCACTTCGGTAAACCTCTGTCAAATCTTGCCAAATTTAGGGGAAATTTGAAAATATTTCCTTGTCTCTGATAATGCTTACTATGTCAATACTGTTCTTGTCATTTCTGCTCATAAAAATGGTAAATTCAGGGGATTACACTGATAGTCATGTCATAAGTACAGATGTGGCAATTAAATTATAATGGAATACGGGGAGGCAATAAGTTAAGACATAAGTTTCTGAATAGATGCAGAAATCACTGTCACTCTTCATTCCAAAAGCCATGAAAGCTCAGAAAAAAAACAGATTCTACCATTTTCCTATTCAAAAATACTTGTAAAATGTAGAGATACATTTTTTAGATTCAGCAGCAATTTCCAGCAGTGGGCTGAAAGTATGAATCATCTACAAAAAATCCCAGAAGATATTTAATTTCCTTGTTATAGAAAGATTTAACTCACATCTGGAAAAGAAGTCTGTGGAAGCCTTCTTTGTTTCTTGATGGCTTCCTAACTCTAACTGACCTGCAGAGTTAATTGAGGCAACATGAAGCAATTGAGTTCTCTTTTTCTCCATCTCTGCTTTCAGAGGGACATTTTACCATTTGAAAAAGGCATAATGACCAAAATGATGTATCAGTCCATTTGTTTAAATTATGAAGTATTATGAAGGATAATGGATCTACACACAGTCCTCAATCTTTTTGCCTTTCTTAGTGTTTTGTTCTTGATATGTTCAACTTCATTTTTCAAGGCCATTTAATCTTTTAGTACTTCTTAAGAAAGCCTAGAATAACCAGACTCTTTAGTGAATAGATTTCCTAATGCCTTTAATATACTTCGCCAACATAACACCAAGACCTAAATATTATATTCCCAACTTAAAACGTTGTTATTCATTACTGTTCATTGAGAGGAATGTAGATTAAGATATTGCATTTTTCATGGAGCAAAACTCTTCCCACAATGAGACTTGCATGGTTGCTCATGCAATCTACACATCTGAACTTGACAGGGAGTAGCTCACATTTACTTCAGAGGTCCCCTGTTGTAGGTAGTGATTATGGATTGCTGGGTTTTGCATGTGTTTCCCTGTAGGCTTGCATAAATGGTAGCTCATCAACAGTGAAGGTGCCGGGAAAAAAAAAACCAAACAGTGATGTTTGTCTAACTGCTATATAAACCCTGGGTATTCTGGGTTTTGTGAAAAGATATGGTAAATCTTAGCAATATTTCCAAACTGAGCTTTCCATCTAAGAAAGGCTCTTCAGTTTACTTAATTTGCGTTCAGGTTCTGCTGTGACATTTCACAGAGCCATAATTAAGAGCTCTTGGGAGCTGGACATTCAGTGGTTGTTTGGTGATTTTAAATTGCATAATGAACTTAGTCTAGAATTTCTTGGGCAGAGATTTTTATGACAGAAAATCTCCTAATATCTTTGATACCAGTTTTTTGACTATTATTTAATGAAATTTGCCCTTAGGTCACATGTTGAATTCTTTGAGCTTTTGCTTTCTATTTGCAAATCTCCTCCTTTTCCCCTCCTCTGAGACTGTTGTGCAGTGCTTATGATCATTAGTGTGTAAGCTTCGTTGTAGCACCATGTATGTTACATATTTTGTCCTTTTATCACGTAGAAGTGTGTGCACTTCCACACCTTTCCATGGCTTCTATCTAGTGTTAAGATACTGGTGTGATTATTCTCCTATAAAAGTCAATGCCCTGGCTTAGACAATATGCAGTAAATCACCAAATAATTCCATGCCGGTGGTAAGTGCCCTCTACAGTTTGAAGAACTATCACCATGCAATAGTGTATTATTTGCACTCATTATCCTCACAAATGGATATTTCAAAATAGTTAGGAATGTTATAAAGAGTAGAAGACAATAATTGTGATGGACTGAGAATAAGTGTTCTGATCACCAAACAGGCAAAACTGAATGATACCTTAGCTATATAGAGTTAGCAGTCATATCGTAACATATATTCATGAATCTTTATAAATATCGTTTCCTCAAAGAAGTATTTCCTTTCCCTATATCAAAGCATGGGTTGCTTGCTGACAGCAAATAAGTATTATTTAATATTTCCTAATGTAGTCTTTTTAACATCACTGTCTAGACTTCAACTCGCTGTACAATTTTTCATTTTATTTCTCTTTCATAACCTAGCTGAAATTAAAGTGAAAATAATTATGGGGAAAAGATCACTCTTTGAAATGAAACAGACTTTTTCAAGGTCGGCCTTTTATCACGTAGCAAATTCTACTTTGACAGTTGGAGAAAAATAAATTAAACTGTGGGTGTTTAGTAATTTAAGGGTTTTTTTAAGTAATAAAGCGAAGAAAATTACAAGTTGAGAGGAAGGCCAAGTACACACATTACATATATTGTATAATAACTGCTAACTCAACTCATAGCATGGAAAATGGCATTTGAAGGATTTAAGGAGAACATGGTAAAAGATGTGAGTTCTGTTGCTGGTCAGGCTGTTGGTGTGATGAATGACCACAATATAAGGTGTGGCTTTCTTTGCCTCAATTTCTTACTTTCTAGAATGGAAAATAAAAGTATTTCCTCAAATGTTGGATGTAATTCCTCAAAGCAAATAGCTTTTGCTATAGCTCATATCCATAAATTGAAGCTAATATTTTTACAAAAAGTAGTATTTTCAAAGTCTTTGAGTGATGTAGGAGCTTATGTCTTCTTTCCAAAAATAAGAAAAGCTTTCTTTTGAATTAATAAGGTGTTGGTACTTAGATCATACTTAATATCTTGGACAAGGGAAATTAATCTTCGGAGTGACCTAGCAGAAGTCTTTTTGTCCTCCCAAGTACAACAATATAGAAAAGAGTATGATAAAATGTTAAAATATGAATATAAACACAAATAAGTGTAATGCGTGTTTTAATATATCTTCATTTCTGCTCATCAAATATTGTGATTGAAACAGCAATCGTTTATACTATTTCTGAAGTAATTATAGGAATTTACATTCTACATAAGAAAAAAACAAACTGCAATGCAATTGTTTCTTTCCTCATTCAAATCCTTCATGATATGTATTAAATATTTGAAGTGATGCATATTTAGTTATACAGACCTACATTGTTCATAAAAAAGACACAGTGATCTCCAGACATCTAAAACAAGAAGCAAACACTTCTGTGTGTGAGGTGCTGACTATGTCTTCCATAAAAGAAAATATACTCACATTGGCTGTTTCTGGATATTCTTTCATTTTTTTTTTAATGATGCTGTGTTCACAGCAGCCTAAAGCTAACGCTAATATGCTTTTAGGTGAGTTTGTATTTTTTTAATTGTTTTTATATATTTATTAGTATTTTAAATTTTCTACAAAGCAAAGGCTGAAATAAGTTGAAGCTTAGTAACGCTTTTTTCACAATATGATTGGAATTCAGATGAGGTTCCCAACATGTGTTAGCTGCTATCCTACCTTTACCAACATTTTCTTGATTTCCTATCGATACATTGCCCACTTGCAGAAAGCCATGGTCAGATGGATAAGGAGGTTCTGCAATCCAGTGTTGGTGTCAGTTAAATTTCTGTCGGTGATCTGACCTTTTGGCTTCACAACCTAAAAGAGTATGATATAAGGCAGAGCCCTACTTTGCTGTGATGGTATAATGGCTGCTTTTAAAATCACTAGCCACTGAGTGTTCTTTTGCTTCAGCAGTGCTACGTAAATATATCTTCAGAAAAGCAAATTTTCCTCTTCTTTGAAACTCATTTCATGCACTCTGCCTAATAAAGCTCTTTGGATGGTTTTTCTTTGTCATAATATTTTATAAAAGCTTTATTAAACTAAGAGGCTTAAAATAGATATCTCAAAGAAATGTAGAGTATTGCAAGTTTTCAGCAGTTTTATTATCATACTAATGTGAAGAACCCAGCAAAGTAGGGTTGCAGTTACTTGAAAATCTTCTCTATTTTTCCCTTTCCACCAAAAATCCTGCAAATCTTAGGGTTATTTGGTTTTTGTTTTTTTCTTTCCTGAGTCTATACATTCTTCTCTCTGTCCTTGCACAGTCATCACTTGAAACAAGAAAACTTGTCCACCCAAAATAGCAACAATTGACCCAATACATTTCTGAGAAGTATTTATGCTATTCCTCTATTTTTAAAGGGTAAAAATACATATACTTAGTATAGCATCTAGCAGGAAATTGTGTCAAGCTAAAAGTAGCATGGACTGGTGGCTACTCAACTCATTTTTTTCAGGTAGTTTTTCACATTGCAGTTTCAATACTGTTTTGGACCAGCAAAGAAGAGGAATTTTATTCAGTCAAAAAACCAGCTTTACAAATACTCTGTATAGGATGTTCAAAAGAGAATTTTTTTATTCAACTTTTCACTTAATTTTTGCAGGATATTTTTGAAAAGAATGTTTGGGAAGAATATTGACTAGTTATTTAGGAATAAACTAGACAGAGATTAAAAAATTGCTCTCCTATATTTATTTTGAAAGCTTAGCTTTCAAGCCATGTTTTTGCCTCCCTAAAGTGTACATTGATGCTAAAAATAGTACAATTCCCCTTTGTGTAGGTTTTCCAGGATATCCTGATTTAAACTCGTTTTTCAAAGACACTGCCTTTTCATAGTTGCTAGTTTTTCTAAAGTTAGCTGGGAGCAGAAGATACTCTGATTAGATGAAATTATTATTTAAAAGCAAAGCAATTTAAAGTTATTAAGAACTGTCTGGATCTGTGTTGCATTGAACCCAGGGGCAGCAGAAGTAAATAGCAAACAGTATTTTTCTTGAAAGTACATACCACATGTGCAGTAAATGGTATAGCTTACGATTTTTGAACAATGGCTCAATTCTTTGTTGCTGCTTGGTCCCAAGCAGCCAGTTAATTTTCAGTGACTGTCACATTGCCTCTGTTAGGATGATGACTTCAATTATCACATAAGATTTCTGGTTTTGACCTATTTTATTCAAGTATGTGAAAAGAGTCCTGTTTTCCTTAGTTATGCTTGGAAGTGTCCAAAAAATTTTTCACTTGTAACTTAGCCTGACTTTGTGGACATCACATACCACCAGGATCTTCTCCTCTCTTTCAAGCAATATGAATTTATTACTGCCTCTCCAGCCACCTGCTAGCCTTCTGCCCCAGAACACATCACCGGTCATCAGACCTCTCCCCATCTGTCCCCACAGACCCTTGGAATAACACTCAGGTCAATCTTTCCAATGAGGTCAACTGCTTTGGTCAACAAGTTCTCTGTCTTGCACTATCTTGTCAAATAAAAAGCCTTGCTTCTTGCTGTAGCCTATAGGAAGAGAGCTAGACACAACTAGCATGCTTAACAAGGTCTGCAAGATAATGGATTTTGATGATTGTGACTAATACCTAACTTGTCGCGCATGTCTGGTTCACTTTCAGAGTCACATTGACTACATTGAATTCCAGGGATATTAAAGCTTTCACTGGTGAGACTGTGTAAATAGGATATTTAAAATAATACATTTTAAATTCAAACTCAAACACACTTTAGGCAAATGTTTGAGTTCAGACAACTGAGATCTGATGATGAGAAAAGCTGCAGAAGTACAAAAACGAGGCTTTAAAAATCAGTTTTGCTGTTGTAGTGGACACTCTACACAGTCAAAAACTACTTGTGGAAATTCCTAAAACAGGGCCAAGGACAAGCCTGTTTGTCTTGATAACAAATAATAGCTCCAAATTATTTTTCTGAGGTCAAGGTTGATGAGAGGACAAAAGCTGCCAAGCTGTCGTTATGAGAAAGAGTACAAGGAGAAGATAATTAATAGAAACCACCATAAAGGCTTGGTCCGAAGTTTATCATGGCAGTGGGGTTAATTATCTTTTGACTTAAATTGCAGCTGAAAAAGAAAACGCTGGAAGTGACTGTCTGGGATTATGATAGATTCTCCTCTAATGACTTCCTTGGTGAAGTGAGTATCTTATTCCTCCTCTCTAACCCTGACTAGTTAGAAAGCTGATTAACTGCATGCTGATATTTGGAGACTGTTCTCTTCTGAGGTTTATGTGTTAAGTAAAACCTTTTTTTACATCACAGTTTTACTGCTGACTTCATAACAAATGGTCATGATTTGTTTCATTCACACATGAAAGTTGCCTTCCCTTTGTCTTGATAAACTGTGGGTGACTTTGTTTAGGAGTCAATACAGTGTTACTTCACTGAAAAATAAGATTTTTTTTTAAGCTGAGAGAGTAATAGCCTTCACAGTAACTGAATGGGGAATTCTTATTTTGACTGCTAAGCTCTCTGCCTTGATTTTAGTATAACTTGGGAACGCTGAGAAGGTATCAGAGTTTGTAAATGATTAAAGGATTAATTTTTGCCATAAAGCCATCATTCAGCATATGCACATATATCTGCAAGTATGGGTGATTTGGTCTTGCTTGTCGAGGTCTCATTTTTAACAATACAAAAGAGTAATAGCACTACCAAATTATGACTGATGGCAAAATTCTGTTATTAATAATAAATGAGGTGAGTCGTCATTGGAAGAAGCATTCTCTGCCTTTTAAAAGCAAATAAACAAGCATGTGCATATAACACAGCTCCAGGAAGACCTTACTGTGGCCTTTCAATACTTAAAGGGGGCCTATAACAAAGATGGGGACAGTCTTTTCAGCAGGGCCCATAGCAATAGGATAAGGGGTAATGGTTTTAAACTAAAAGAGGGTACATTTACACTAAATTTTACAGTGAGAGAGGTGAAACACTGGAAGAGGTTGCCCGAAGAGGTTGCCCAAAGAGGCAATCAGGGTTTGATGAGTGGAAGTGAGTAGACATCTGGACATCAACAGTCACATGCTTGTATTCATTAGCTTTAGACTGTTTTTTCCTTGGTAAAAGGAACGCTTTGCTTCTGGCTCACAATAGTTTGGCTAGGAAAGGCTATACTGCTGCTTTAGTTAGGTGGGGATGAGGATATTAATGCTTACCCTAGTAGCTCATTACTCTTTATTTGCCTGTTGTGTGCAATAGCTAATAAATAATTGCTTACTCTTAATTTGCATTTATCCTATTTCTCTCTATGCAAGATCAAAGTCCAATGAAAGTGACAGAGCGAGAAGGTTACATGTGAATTGGAGTTTCAGTCCTAAGAATAAGAATCTAATATTGAATCTATATTATTAGTGAGTCAACTAGGAGAAGAACATTGACTGGGATATGCTGAAAGAGATAACAGAAGCAGGAAATACAACTGTAATGAGAGACTTGAATTACTTTCAGACAGACTAAACAAATGTCATATCTGGCTGTGAAGCAGAGAATTTTTAGATACCATTTGTGGCTCTTGCAAGAAATAGAGAAACAGCTGATTAGGGAGACCAAAGCAGGAAATGCAACCCTGGGTTGGGTTGTGAGCAATGCACAGGTTCTGTTTCAAAGCACTCCAGGCAAAGAGTGACTCTCTAACACCAGCCATTGGAAACTAGGAATTGGAATAATATACAGAGTAATTCATAGTATCTCTGCTTATTCTGCATTTGAACTTCGCACTCAGTTCAGCTCCAGTTCTCCTTTGTGCAACTACAAAACTGGGCAATCAATGCCACTATTTGAACAATTGCTAAAATAAATGTATAGGAAGCAGCTACATGATTACTTATTTCCTGCATGCTGCATCAGTATTCTTGAAGTCAGCACGTTTGTCCAAATGCAGGGCTTTACTGAATGTTTACATCGTTATTTATGAAATAGTTCTTTATGGAAAAGACTATACAGTATATTTTAGGGCCAGCATGTCCAGAGGGATCCTGCACCATAACATCAGATCTGAGATATCCAAATTGAGCCTCAAGGACCTGCTTGAATAGGGCCAGCACCACATGCATACCCCAGAAGTCATGTGGCACATCATGGCTCAAGTCCATGGAATGTGAACCCTCTTCTCCTACAAAGCAGAGCCCCCAGTCAAGCCAGGTTGTATACAACCTATGAAGCTAGAAGAAAAAAAGGAAAGATAAAAGGCTTGTAAGCCCCTCTAGAAACAATCTCTTGTGAAGAGATTTCCCCATCCTTAAACTTGAAGAGGCTTTCTTTTATTCATATCTTGTAAGGGATTGTTCCCCCAGGTAATTGCACACTTTGTCTAGTGGTTTTAACATTTCCCTACCTGACATTACTTTTATCCCTCTCACCTTGGAGCCAAATGCAAGGCTATTGTCTTTCATCCTAGACTCTGATGACTAGTACTTTACATCTCTTGGCCCTCTTGGTTGTAAGACCACTAAAGGAAGGAGGGTCTCTATTGGTCCCTATTGCTTCTTTTTCAAAAATATTTTAAAAAAAAAAATTCACAGAGCTCTTGCTAACAATACAAGTGGCATAGAGCAGATTTTAGCCCCAATGGGAGTTTTTTAGCCAAGTTGCTCATTTCATTTCTAACTTGCCATTGCATCTCCCATCTTTTTTTTTTTCCCAGTGAAGTTTTGTGGCCTATATGGCCTATTGAACTAAATGGCCTATTGAACTCTATTATTTTAGTGAAGTGCTGTTACAAATTCTGCAGACGTGGATTTTTTAAAGAATCCACAAGTACCAGTCTCATATTACTGAAAAGCTTATTAAAAACAAATACTGCGTTATTTGCCCCTTTATTAACATTGGCAAAAGGAAGAAAATAATACTGCCCAATTCTTCTATTAGAATATAGAATCATAGAATCACAGGATGTTCGGGGTTGGAAGGGACCTCGAAAGATCATCTAGTCCACCCCCCCTGCCAGAGCAGGATCCCCTAGGGCAGCCACACAGGTGGGTTTTGAAAGTCTCCAGAGAAGGAAACTCCACAACCTCTCTGGGCAGTCTGTTCCAGTGCTCCGTCTCCCTCACAGTAAAGAATTTTTTCTGTGTAGGGGCAGAATGACTAGATGTCTTTTTAGTCTAGCTTTGAAGCTATACTCACTACTATTTAAACTATCTAACAATCCTGGTATGGATCAGTGTCTAAGCTCATAGTCCTTACTGAGGTCCTTTTGAGAAGATATTAATTCAAGCACATCATTGTGCTAACAAATGTGGATTTTGGATCACAACTGGCTTATTTCAGGTGAGGTCAGAGGATACATGTCAACATACAGCCTTATATCCTTAACTTCTTACATTTGATTGCAAATTCTGGTAAAACAACTGTAGGCTCTTCTGCTGTACACAATCATCAGTAGATCAGATACAGTCTGTCTATTCAACTTATTTCTAGGTATTGATCGAGTTATCCAGCGTGTCTCAGCTTGACAACACTCCTAGGTGGTACCCTCTGAAAGAACAGAGTGAAAACATTGATCACGGGAAATCTCATTCTGGACAGAGTAGCCAGCAATCTCCAAAACCATCTGTCATCAAAAGCAGAAGTCATGGAATCTTCCCGGACCCCTCCAAGGGTAGGAATAACTTGGTGCCCCTGATATGAAATGTTTTCTCAGATTATGGGAAAGCCTTTCCTCTGTGTAAGTTCTAACAGAAAAATAAAATTACTGCTATGAAGTTTGTATACACTTCTATTAAAAAATTATCTCTGTGATTAATTCAATTTAAGCCAAGGCTTAATTTGGCTCAGTCAGTGCCATCCAGCTTACTGCATAATTTTGTCCTTAAAACAGCAATTTAAAAGCTCTATATGCTTTGTACGTCTAGTGTAAGTTCTGTCCCTTTTTCATTTTTCTGGTAGCCCTGGCCAGATTTAATGCATATTTAGCTTTCTATTTTTTATGCTCCTTAAATGTTCTATGGCATTTTTTCCTATGGAAATGTCACATTAATATTTTATAGAATAACAATTATGCTATAATAATGCATATGCATTTCCAGTCAGTGATAATGGGCTGCAGAACATCTCAATTGTATTGGAAATCAGTGGAGCCGATGCAGTAGAATTATGCTAGTGTTTACAAAAGTAGAATTGATCTCAGTGTCTCTTGCTCCAAGACTTCTTATCTCTACATTTTGCATTGTTTTTTTAATGCTAAGTACTTGGTGGCCAGTTGCTCACTTAAAACACAGTATATGTCATTTCAAAGCAAAAGCCTTCCCGAACACCATCCAGAGGAGTGCCTTAGTGATAAGACCCTACTCCACCTCCTCTCTATTTCTCTGTGTAACGTTTTGCTAGGGATTGGTGTCTATATAAGATCTGTATATAAATTAGAGGTTATTGTAGAAGCTAGTGTGCATTAGTCTGTGGTTTTGACCAGGACGTTCATCAGAATACAACTGCTTTCACTAGTTAAGTATTCAGTACTGGTGTAAGTGATGCAAGTCAGTCTCTACATACTAGAGAAGCAGAAAGTTTTATGCTACCCCATCATTCCGTCAGTGTGAACCAGCACAGAAGGCACAATTCACAGATGATGGAAACTCAATAATAAATTAATTAATTCCTTGGGCCAGGTAACAGTGGGCAGCTAGAAATGGTCCTTCATAAGCGTTTCCTAATCATGATATATTGTGAGACTTTGAATAGCATTACACAGCTTAATCTTTATTCCTTATTCTGAAATGCAGCCAGTTCTGAAAGGCCAGTCAAGATAAATAAAATGCAATTTTTTGTTTAATAAATGCAACAATTGTGCTTCTTCGTTTTCTTGGTAGACATGCAGGTGCCCACCATTGAGAAATCCCATAGCAGTCCAGGGAGCTCCAAGTCTTCCTCTGAAGGACATCTACGCTCCCATGGTCCATCTCGCAGCCAAAGCAAAACCAGCGTCACTCAAACTCACCTTGAAGACGCTGGGGCAGCAATCGCCGCTGCTGAAGCAGCTGTCCAACAGCTTCGCCTTCAACCAAGTAAAAGACGCAAATAAATTCCTCAGCATGGCAGCTTAATGTTCATCTGTTGCCTTTTTCCCTGCTGCCCTTCCCTTTTCGGCTGTTTTTTTCTGTTCTTGGCACACCGTGCTCACTCTGTTCAATGTCTCTCTTTGTGTGCCTGTGTGTGAATACATATAATTACAATATACTCTTGTATTTAGAAGTCTTTTATTTATTTTTTTATTTTAATTTATGTAGACTGCAGTGAAACTGGCTGTTTCTCCATCAGTCCCTTCACTCATGGTCCATGATGTTCCATGGCTGTGCATGACTCACAGAGAGTTCCATTGTGTGATGTTGTTTTGATGTCACTGAATAACTACCGATAAAATAATCAAAACCCACAGAGATGTGTCTGCCAGCTCTTCAAGTTGCGCATGAGTATGAAGAGTGCATTAACAATAAGATATATCTGTAAGTAGCAATCAGGAAAGACAGTACAATATACTAAAAAGATGATTTAAACTTAAAGAAAAAATGTTTTTTTAAATACATAGCTGAGATTTCTATTTTTGAAACATGACTGTAAATATCTAATTTTTTTTTGAAAGGAAATATAAAGCAACCTTCATATCTCGGATAAAATCATGTTAGTGATGAACAGATCAGCAATAGACAAAAACATTAAAAACATTAAATGCAAAATCCTTAGGTATATAAAGCCATTGACAACATCAGATTTCAACAGTGTTATCAAGTTAGCAAAGTCAAAGGGAACTAAGTCAGGTGTCACAGTTCAATTTTTCTAATATTTTTTGTGCTATGGATTGACTAAGGGTCAAGATAGATTTAATCTGACAACTTTAAATAGTTTAATAAATTAAAACTTTTCCATTCAAAAGGGTTGCTCTCTAGAGTATACTCCAGACCAGTATCTGATTGCTAGTTGAGGGTTAGTTGATGGCAAATTAAAACTCTCTGACTGTGGAATCATTGTGTCTGTCTTCAGGATTTGTTGATATGCCATAAATTTACCATGGTATAATGCAAAAAAACAGGGAAAAATTACTTCCCTTGTCTTCACCACCATTAACAAAGAAACAGCCAGTTTTAATACTCTTTAATGCTGTGCATGTGGTGTCTCTTTGGTGTTTGAAAACACTACTTACTTAAATACAGAAAAAAACACTTCTGTTTGCATGAATAACATTTAAGCTGGTTCCATCTGAGGATACATACTCTGGGTTTCCATTTCACCCACACTGCCACAGCAGCACATAAAAGCGGTCAGTCTAATCATGCCAGGAAGCAGCACAGACACAGCATAGCAGGAGTCCTCCCAATTCAAAGAACTCAGTCTGACAATCTGCCTCCACCAGCCAATGACAACAAAGACCAAAGCCAACTAGCCCTCAGGAAAGTGATGTCTGATGGACCAGTCAAGCCTGAAGGAGGTGAGCAGAAAGACATGGTTAAGAAGCCAACCACATCCTAAATCCTTCTTGCCATGTCTGCTAATTCATTGTGATACTTAATTATTTATTTTACCCCTCCATTAAGTGCTGTAGATGTTAACATGAATCAAGAACTCTGCTTGATTTTTCCACATCAGCACGTAAACCTATAATGAAAAACTGTGCTAAGAAACATTACAAAACAACCAATGTGTGCACTTCCATTCCACTGGAGGACTTAGATCTCTATTGAAAAATGGTATAGCTTTACTCGTTGCCTAATAAAAAGCATGCATCCAAGCATCTGCTTAAACACAATTGAACGTTTTTTGTACTGTGACAAAAAGCTAATTGCACATTTTTGTTTATTGAATTCTATCTGGGGCATTAACAATTTCTTTTTCCTCTCCCAACATAGTTGTTATGTCAAAGGCCATTAGCATAGATAATTTTTCAAACCGCCAGTGGAAAGGAAAGGAGTTTTGATCCATGTATAGCTCAATGTTTTGATAACTTTCCTATCAGCCTCTTAAAAAATTGTTTTCTACTTGTAGGCACCTGTACATCAAACCTAAATATGACATATCATCAGATTTTCCCCTCATCACAAATAAAGAGCCAGAATCTCAATTGGTTCAAATTGGCACTGTTCTTTTGACTTCTGGAGCTTTTGGTTTATTTCCATGGAATCTAAGGGATTATCCCAATAAACTTACAGACTGGAATCACAGATCTCTTGTGCTGTAATCCCTTCCCAAACTCATGACTCATTGAAGGGATTTCTGTTAACACCATTGTGCATCATGGACAGTACAGTCTGGCTGACAAGGCTGTAAAAGTGAAGGACAGAATGATACTTCAAACAATATACCCTAAGAGAAAAAAGTCATTAAAAGAGCAAGTGTGATGTTAAAACAGCTGATTAACAAGGACAAATTTAACAGATAATTTTTAACATTGTATTTATAAAAAACTAAATTATTATCATATGAGAGCCTTAAGAAGTCATCCATAAATATATCTATCTACACACAGATGTGTGTGTCCATCTACATACATATCATCTTATTCTACAGCTCAACTCCAGACACTCAGTTCAGGCACAGGCCAGAGTATCCTGGTACTAATTCAAACATCATGACTGAAAGGTCCATCCTATTCCTGGGATGTATACCATACAAATATAAATTATGATCTTTTGAGATGTCATGTCTGTAGAGATTTATCACAGAATCATAGAATCATAGAGCCAGAGAATCTTAGAATCGTTGAATGGTTTGGATGGGAACACCACTATAAGATCTCCTTGGAGCCTTCTCCATGTTGAACAACCCCTACTCTCTCGGCCTGTCCTCCTAGGAGAGGTCCTCCAGCCCTCTGATCATTTTTGTGGCCCTCCTCTGGACCTGCTTCAACAGATCCATACCCTTCTTATGTTGGGGGCCCCAGAGCTGAACACAGTATTTCAGGTGAGGTCTCACTAGAACAGAGTAGAGGGGGACAATCACTTTCCTTGAGGGAGAACTTGTCATCCTGTCATGCCTTTCGGCCTAGACAAGGACTGCTAAAATCTTTTGCTTGTGATATAAGGTTGAATCAAGGTACCCATGCACTTTTATTTTAAAGAAATACTTAAACTTCTTTACTTATAAAAATGAAAAAAGGCTAAAAAAATGCTCTTGGCTCAGCAATATTAGAAGCATCATAGAGAGTTGTGGGAATAAGAGCCCACATTAATAGCATTAATATATAAGTGTGCTCAGAATTACTATGAAGAAATATGGTACTTTTTTCTTTACTTCTGACAATTATATACATTGAATGGTCACCTACTCAATGTTTACAATTATGAGTTGATATCTGTGAGAAGTTTTGGCTACTTGTTGTGCCAAAACTAGTTTGTCCTAATATATTCATGTTAGGTGGATCGATAATTACCATTTTGAAGTCATGTAGATCTCACACATTTCAG